CTAGAACCTGAAGTACTCAGTTACGTACATTAAACAGTGGTGTTGTCCCTAGTTCAAACAAAGTTACCTCTTGTACTTCTGAACTGTCTTACACAGACTGAACTGCCAGAAGGCCTCAATCAAACCAGACTCAAGTCAATTCTTCAAGGTTATGGAGAATACCCCGCTAAATACAGGTACAGACAGTTTAAAGATGACTTGAATTGAGTTATTGCTACGTTGACCCTATAAAACACACTAGTTAAAAACAGTGGTGCGCTAATTGCACCAATTACAATACACAATAACGAAAAGAATAGGGAAAAAACTTGAAAGGTGGAAGCTGGTAGTGAAGCACAATTTCTCCTTTAAGGGACTAATGAGAAAATTCAGTCACGAGGAGTGCGAAGGAGAACTTTCAAGAATGCTGAATCATTTTGAAACGATACAGTCTTAAAAGCGGGCAGATCATTCAGGGATTGGTGCAATTACTCTTTTGCCTACGGCTTGTCGGCAAAAAAATCAATGTTGAATAGAGTGACTGAAGGTCTTCTGTCAAAAAGAAAAAAGACTTGAGGACCTTCAACCTTCCAACCTTTCTACTACATGTATGTGAAGTAAATTAGACCACTACTCTGGGAGAATAACCACACATATTAAAAGAAAAATAAAAACAAAAACAAAAAGAAAAAAAGAAAAAATGCAAAGAAATGCAGCTTGCTGGCATACATTGTTTTTGCAGGATGTTCATTTGGCGGTCACTTCTTAAACTTCCCGAGAACCATGCAGCTTACAGTAGCTTGGTAGACAAAGGAACACACACTGCTTTTGCAAGACTGCATGAAGAATACCCAATAAAGAGCAGGAAACTTCTTAGAGTGCTTCAAAGGTTCGTACTAATCAGTAACGATCTCCACAAGCCACATACACTATAGTCCCTAATTTTCGTGAGAGATTGTAGAGCAAGTAAAATATGCGAGTATGCGTCAAGATCAGCTCCCGCCAAAAGGTAAAACACTTTCCTTTGCCTGCGTTGCTATGGGATTTGTCACCACCTCTGCATCATTCCACGGGTACTGTATTTTTTTTTAAGCTTGCGCCGCCTAAACAGCACTCCTTCACTCTGATCCCGCTAGCGTTGAAAGCTACACTTCCATCTATGTATCACCTTCGTCGTGAGTTGCGTTTTACAAGCACGTGTGCGTACATGTATGTTGCTCGTTTTACTATCCCTGGGAAAAAAAGTAATCTCCTTATTCGTGGTCCCTGTACATTTTGAATGTACCCAGCAGTAGGCAGTTTATTGCAGTGTAATCTGTTACAAATATTAGAACGATTGATTTTTAATGTCGCAGAAAAATCACTGGTTTTGCAAAACGTAAGGAAATTTTCTTTTCAGGTTACCCCCTAATAAAAGGCTCCCGTAAAATGAGTACATATTCATGGAATTCCCTTACCCAATCAAACAAGCCCCACCCAGCCTCCCATCCCTGCTGTCAAGGATTTGCTCTGTTTGCTAAACGAGTAAACTTTCATTAATGCCCAGTCTACTAACTACAGTGGAACCTCGATATAACGAAGGGACTGGCAAAATTTGTTCGCTGTAACGAGGTTTCGTTATATCGAGAGTTTTTTTTCATATATTTTAATATTACTGGGGTAAAGAAAATCATTTGTAAAGGAGTAAAAACAATTTTTTTTTGAATTTGTTTTGTAGAACATTATCAGCATTGGCCCACTGGTCTTCCATATTTGGTGAAGTTGATTACCTTGCTCTTTTGTCCTTTCCATTTGTAAAGCTGTTCCAGAACAATCAGTTGATCTGTTTTGAGATGATAGCAACGATCCTCAGTATGTTATGTTATATCTTCTTACAGTAATATTTTAGCCTTAAATCCCCAAAGTATTCCATGATCATCTTGGTCACGGAAAACTTGATACTTTTGATATTACTTTTCGTGTTAATTATGTTCATTTTGATACTACATTAGAGGCTCTCTTGACGGACACTCTCGTAAGCGGTCAGCTCTACTTATAGCCGCGGCCACAAAACCCCGTTTTAACCTCCATACACCCTCTATTTTTACATACCCGTGAGCAGACATTTTCGTAAGCTTCTCCGGACACTTTCAGGGTGTACGAGTTAGTTTTTAGCGTTGTTTTTAAGCTACTTTGAGCGGACGTCCGATTGTATTGAAATTTCATTCGCCTCTGAAGGTTGTATTTTAATAGATCAACCTTAAATCACTGTTCGTCACAATCTATTTATATAAGTTTCAGTCTTCACAAACACATCCGGTTATACTTCAAGACGCTTGTTAGTTGTAGCCAAATGCTAATATCCAAACACTCTTTTTACATTTCTAATTTTTATGTATAGCTGGGCAAGCTCCCTTAAACGGCCATTTAACCCTTTCGCCTCTAGTGGCCGCATACGAGAACCATTCTCGTAAGCGGCCAGTTCCAGTTACAAACACCTTTTCCGCGTTCCGAGGGTGTCCGCTGACGAGAACTTCCACTTTATTAACTGACATTATTTTTTTGTCGTGAAATGATCAATTTCTGCAGCAAACTGGTGCCAGCATTGGTTTGAGTTCTTTCCCAACCCTCCTGTAAACATACTCGGCATGGTTGAGAATCTGTTGGTACATCATGACAAGAGAATAATGCAACATTTTGTCAGCTGTAACGTCACATCACAAGTGAGTCCATTACTTAAGGGAGTTCTCAATTGACATGTTGAAAGTATAAAAAGCCTTGGCAGGGTTCTCACTGAGATTTCAGATTGCCAGGTTAATACAACAAGTAGGCAGGGAATCAAACAGCTAAGGATTTCTTTTGGTTCTATTTTTCTTCTATTTTCCTATGAAAGTAGTCGGGGGCCACGTTCATAGTAGCCAGGGGAAATCTCCGGCCCCCGCCTCTTAATGACTGCCCTGCAGTTGGTTACACACACCGTGGGACAAGTAATTGCAGGTTATCCAGGCGGCATTTTTATTGCTGTACATTTCACGCTCGAGTTTGCTTGTCTCGGTACTTCCCGCACCTTTTTTGTGCGGGAAATTTCGTAGCCACCCCACTGATTGGTTGTTTTATAATGCTGCTCGCTTTGATTGGATGAAAAATCTCGTACCATCTTCTTGGCCATTCAAAAGTAAGCCAAAACTCGTCTTGACTTCGACTGAGACTCACTTGCGTTCTCCCGCCTTTTGGCGCCGGCCGCTACATATAGTCCCGCTTTTTTGACGCCCCTGTTGCCGTTTTCGTCGTGTTTGCTTTCATGAATCTGCCTTGACACTTGATTGTTTTTGTCGTTTTACTGTATGTACCATAATTACGTTGTTTTTGATATTAACAGTAACGAAAAAACTAATTGTTAAACGTGTTTATGTCCAGTATTACATACAATCGTTGTTTTGTTTTCAGATATACGCCTGGCCGCTGTTACAGACTCTGTTATCAGAGGTGCTTACCAAGGATGAATGGCTTAGAGCTTGGGATAACATCTTTTCCAACCATCCGTCATTCCTTCTATTTGTAGTAGTAGCTTATGTCATCGTTTCACGTAAGGTCCTGCTTCAGTGCTCGAGGAGAGAAGATTTCGAGGTTAGAATGATTTACACTTTAATATGATTATGGCACCGATAAATGCCGAAAGCCGCAGCAAATTTTTCTTTGGCAAAATCCGTCGGCACCGCTGGAAAGAGTGCCTTAAAGTTAGCAAACTGGCCAAATTGGAAAGAGATACGTCTTAAGTTTAATGTTCTATCAGAGAGCTTAGGAAACTGCGATGACGACGCAGACGACGGCAACGATAACAATAAAGAAGGGTTTACTGAGCAACACAACAACTCCGTACATGCAACAAACAGCTCTTTTTGAACCAAAACTTTTAACGCAACTCTTGGAAACGTAGGAGAACTGGAATAATCGCAATGAATTGGTTTGAAAGAAAGGCAACGCTTTCTTTACAGCACTGTTGTTGTTGTTTCGAGTGGTGAGCGAAGCAAGCTTCGCGAGGGGCGCTTTTGCGTGCCGCTCTCATTTGACCTCTTACTTGACCATATCCCCTCAAATGGAGACCTTGCTCTCAGGATAAGCGCTGAATGGAAGTGTAAAGCGCGGGAAAAAGCATGGGCAAAAGCAACAAACATAAGTGTTTAATTGGTTAAGGCAGATATCCAAGATTTAGTACCCAATCACAAAGCACGGCAGTGCGTTAAATGGCCACAACCGCGTCAGAGAACACCGCTTTATGTATTTAAACACACTGGTTGTTTGTTTATTTTTTTAACACATTTTTTTCCCTCTAGTATTTCTTTCATAACCGGAATGCTGTTGACGTTGGCACAGTGATACGTGAAGCTTACCGTTTACAAGAAGGCACTCCAGCAGAAGTGAACCCAAAGAGAATGCTGGAGCCTTTTACTCCACTCACCAAAGGGCAGTACCCCATCTTCAATAAATACCCCAAGTTTATTGTGGATTATCAGGTGAGCTTTTGACCGTCATTAAGTTACTGCACTTTAAGTTCAACTGAAAGTTGTTAGAAGTGAACATTTAAAATAACTACTTGGGCGTTTTTTGGTCTCTAAATCCATGTTTCATTGGTAGATGTTATTTTGGTCTTCATTGTTACTTCTTTCGGCAGGTCCAAGAAAGGGAACGTATTCGCCAGGAAGAGCTCGAATATTTGAGGCAGAGGTATTTAATGTTTTATGTGGAGACAAACTTCGATTACGCAAATACACATTGTTTATATAATATTAAAGAGATTTCTTTTCTTCATCTTTATTTGCATCATTGTTGTAAGCTTTGACTTGTGTTTGTCAGGCAATTGGCGCAGGAGATGAAGGAGGTGGCCTCTCAGCGCCAACAGGAAGAGGAAGCTTTCTACCGTCAACAGGAACTCATGGTAGACGCTGAAAACCAAAGGAGAAGAATGATAAGTCAGGAGGAACAGAAGCTCAGCGATCAGAGAAGCAGGTTTGTTTCGGTAAAATTTTTTTGTTACATCGTTGTCATTCATGCGCTTGGCGTTAGCCTTGGCATTTGTCGATGGATTTCTAGCTTGAGGTGACTGACTCAGTGAGACAGTGGTTTGTTGGTTTGTTTTAAAAAGGAATATCCACACTGTCATCGTCAAATTGATTCTAGCTCGTTAGAAATGTGTTTATTTATAATCCTACATGAGAAATTTCTGCAATTTGATTGGCTTAGAGGAGTGGTACTTCAGCTTAATTTGAAATACCTACATGTGAAAATTACAAACCTTTTGTGGGTAGTAGCATAAACAATTAATAGCATGATTTGTATGTGATATTTGGCATAAATACCACTCGTGATATTTCGTAATTGTCTCAAATAATTATGTATAACAATTTCGAAATATCACTCGTGGTATTTATGCCAAATATCACTACAAATCAAGCTATTACCTATACAAATAAAAATACTTTTTTTCTTAGAAGTGGGAAAAAATTGGAATTAAGAAATTGAATAGGGTCATAAGGCATAAATACCACTCGTGATATTTCGTAATTGTCTCAAATAATTATGTATAACAATTTTGAAATATCACGGTATTTATGCCAAATATCACTACAAATCAAGCTATTACCTATACAAATAAAAATACTTTTTTTCTTAGAAGTGGGAAAAAATTGGAATTAAGAAATTGAATAGGGTCATAAGGCTCGGTCTACTGCAATTGGAAGAGATACTTTAGCGTGGCTTATTGCTACCCATAAAGGCAGGTATAGGCAAAGGCTACTCCAAAAGACAATGCCTTCCACTCCTTTAACGGTCCTATGCGGCGATACCTTTAAGCATTTGACGCAGTCATTGAAATTCAGTTTGGAATGGTAGGGGTAAATGGTAAATAGCCCTTTTTTTGCCTCACTTTCTTTTTTATTTTAGACTGCAAGCAATGAAGCGAGAAATTCACCTGCGTGAGCTGCAACTGCTGGACGCTGTTCGCAGGCGCTTCATGCATCATCAACAGACCCTGAAAGAGACGGAGCTCCAGCGACTTGATGATGAGATAGAACGCAAGGTCGGTCTGTCTGTATACAATAGTGTATAGTGTTCAATAGTGATTCACGGTATTTTAGTGTTCCTTGCAAAAAGACGCACGCGCGCATATTGATATGTAAAGGAAACAATACATTTCGCCACCTCTTACCAACAGCAAGTTGGATTTTATCGTTTCTCCACTTTAGTTCTAGCCCCTCGCGTTAATCACTTTTTCAACTGACATGAACCGCAGCCGAGTTTGATAACCGCGTGTTGCCGTCCAAAGTTTGATTCTTTTCCCTCTGTCTCCAGCATAACGTTTTTGGGTCGAGTCGCGGAACGTATACGAACATAAGCAATGCTCATTTTCAAACGACAGCAATGATCAAAGATCAAAATAAGTAGCAGAAGACTTCCTTCACTTAATTTGTGTAAAGTCGGGAACCTCACTACAACGACCTGCAAGTTTGGGACAGGCATATTGGGCCGGTGCAAGAGGGTGGCCGTTTCAAGGAAGTTGCATGTAACGGGACACCCTGCCAACAGAGCCTTTCTTTCGCAGCTTGCTTGATTGTGGGGTACTTGAGAAAGACTCTACTAAAATCGAATAAGATCTTTGTTGAGCATGCGCTACATGTGGCTAGGATGCAGTTTCGTACTCAGGCCTAATAGCTTGGCGCTTGGTTCAGCGGGCTCAGTTTTTTGTTATGAACATCGGTTTATGAATAGAGAGTTTAAACATTACGCATACGGCAAACGGGAAACGTCAGATTCAAGTTGAAATGTCTCAAAATAGAAAGTGAGCAGATAAAAACAGCTCAAAACAATTCTTATGGACAAAAAAATGCGTGAAACTACTAATTTATCTGTTTAAATAATAAGCAGTAAACGACAAGTGAAGGGGAAACTTGGTCACGTGGTACAAATTCGCGTTTGCCGTTAGGCATGAACGTGATGCTTAACCTCTCTAATACACGGATGCTCGCACTCTAAAAACCAGTTTGACGAGGAAAAAAAAACAAGATTGACTTGTCCAAAAGTTCGGGCTGCGGCGACCTCAAAGTTTTGACGCGATTCTGGCAGAATGTTTATTTGAAATGGAGCTCAGTTTAGAGGCCATCATTGGAGAGCTTTAGCAAGGACGACGGCGACGGCAACGAGAACTTCAGAAAAGCCGGATAGGTTTGATAAGCAACAGGCAAAAAAACAAGTTCGCACGTGCAGCACGCCGTTTGTAACATTTCTTTGCCATCCCTGCATGACCATGGGGAGGAATTTCCTCATGCGACGTCGCATGGAGGACGTATATGTTGCAGTTAATTTGTTATTTCAATAATTTTTGTTTTTCCTTTGTTTTAAATTCATTAGCATACAAAACCATACTCAGAAACAATGGGAAAATAACAATTAATTGAAATAAAAAATTAACTACAACATCTACACACGATCACGAATATTTCTTCTACTCTCTGAAATTTCTGTCTAAGAGTCTCTGTGGTCATGGTTTAACGTCACGATCCTCATCTGTACTTTGTGTTATTTATAGGCTTTGCTAAGAGAGCAAGAAACGAGGCATGCTATTGAAGATGCAGAGATTAAAGGACTGGAGCTTCAGGCACAGAAAGAGATGCTTCAGCAGGTTAGTGAGATAATATATCACTGATCAGATATTTGTTTAAATTTTAGGTGATCTGATGTGATTTGCATCTAATTAAGTTATCATAATGTAACTACTTGATCAGATGGATAGGTAATGGGAATAAATGAAATCACCTGCGATAAAATTTCTTGATTGTTTTACAAATTCTCCTCATTAGCCAGAAGTAATGAGTGACTGCCATAAGTAATGTGTGAATAAGATGCATGTTCATATTAGTGCTTGAGGGGTTCACATCGGTTTTCTGCCGACTTCTTAGCCTAAGTAGCTGCTGTTGCAGGGCGGTGAAGGCAACTTCATTCGCGGCGAAGATGGCGAGGAGTAAAGGAGAAACCTAATTCCGTCCTTCGGGCTCATGCACATGTCACCGGCTTCCCCCAGCGTTAGGACCCCGGGCCAACCAGGGGATAATCATTGTAGTCTGCGTAGCTGGCTCAATTTTTCGCGCGCAACTGTTAACAAAGACCACAAAATTTTGTATTCTCCTTTAAATTTTCTTTGAAGTTTGAACAAAATGTCCACAGGGGCAGAGAAACCAAACCATCCGCTTGTTTCCCCGCAACATCCCGCTGGGGTCCTACCCCAGGGGAAGCCGATAACATGTGCATGGCTTCCCCGAGCTGTATCGAGTTTGCCAGCTACGGAGGCTCTAAAACGTTTACAATATTCTATTAAGCCAAGGTTGTGCCTCTGTTTTGTTTCACGTAGGACCTGATACGTGATGAACTACAGTCCTCGTTTAAGCAGCGAGCAGAGCAAACGGTCCATAGAAAACAACAAGAGTTGGAAGGTCAGCTATTTAAACGAACCATGGACGCTGTCCAGGAGGTCGACATTGATTCGCAAAGGGTAAAGATACATCTAACTCGTTCTGCAATGTTAAGTCCCATTAAGGTAGAGGGAAGCAGCGAAAAATTTCGAAAACTTCTTTTGGTAGGATTTTGGAGCAGCTAGGATGGCCGGCATAACAGAATATTGTACGCCAGAATGGGCTGCCGGTTTGAAAACGTTGTACGTTGTACTTGATTCATCTAGAGTTGATTTCTATTTGCTCTTTTTTGCGGAATAACGACAATGAATGCGCCCTTATTCTTCTTGAGAGACTGCCTGCTATTTGTCCAATCTTGCGCATTTAAGCTTTTTTTTTGTTAGTTAGTTTTATGGGTCGAGTTCAAATGTTACCTTCCCTTTGAACGCAGGGACAGGTGAATTTCCAGTTAACAAACAGAAAGCCACACTTTTAAAACGTATTTTTTATAACCATAAAAGGCTGTAATAATGGCCCATTGGATAGACCCCGAGTTTTTTTTTTTTTCTCATATGTTTGCTTTAGGCCTCTTCCACACGCATCCGAAATTTTTGAATCCGCAACTGTTCCTTTCCAGATTAAAAAATTTCCACGTCCACGCGTATCCGCATTCAAATCGAATTTGCCCATCCACACATATCCGACACGTATCCGGACTCACTCTAGTACCCAGGACTCCTCTGGAAATATTGGCAATAGAGCATGCTTCGTAAAGCGTGTGAAATTTGCATCTAGCTCTGCCTTGAGAGAACCTGGGAACGAGGTTGCTTTCTTGAATACAGTATTCACGGTAAAGAACTGGGCTCGTTCTTGTTACGTCGCTGGATAAAAAAATATCCGGATTTAGCGTCCACACGATTCCCGATTTGTGGCGTATTCAAAAATTTCCACTCTGGAGAGTGGATTCCAAAAGTTACGGATTCGTATGCCGGATTCACCGGATACGTGTGGACGGAAGCCTAATCCGCAAAGAAAAAAAATCCGGATTCAAAAATATCCGGATACGTGTGGACGGGACTTCAATTTCTCCGACGCTCGTGGATATTCATTTTTGCAAGTACCATATTTGGAACGAGAAGAAAAGATAACTGACCAATCAAACTTTGTAAACGACGTAACGAAATTGTACTCCACGTTCCCGCGCCCGCCCAAAAAATTGGGATCTTAAGCAACAATGACGGCGACGTTCAGTCCGTCAAATGTCAGCAACTTTTTCTGAGTTGAATTTTAAAGACTGTATCGAAGTTCAGGAAAAGAAAAAAAAAAAGTCGTTGTCTTCTGTTTTTGCCCTCCACAAACGTGAAACTAGGCACTTTTACGCCGTAGTCGTGCAGTGGCGGTAAAGAAATGTTCCAAAACGCGCGATGCACGTGCAATGTTGTTGTTAAACCTATTGCTTTTTTGAGGCCGCAGCGAGGGTTTCCAAATATGGTACTAAGAAAAATGAATATTCACGAGCATTGAACGCGAGGTACGCGTTTCGACACCTCATGAGTTTTTGGACCGCGCGATGTTCTCAAGTGAATTTCTCTTCGTCTCTCTATAAAATCTGCATTTAAATAGTCTGAAATTTGAAAGAAATGGTTCTCTAGAGTAACTGCGGGATTCAGAAACGAGTTAGCAAATAACCTACGGCAAGAAGGTCTGTACCAGAGTTAATGATGATTTGTTTTCAATCAGATTTCCCAGCAGGAGTTAGCCAAAGCTCAACAGACACACACTGATGTCAACATGGAGACGGAAGTTGGATTCAGAACCAGAATGGACGATCTTCATCGAGAGCTTAGTGAAGTTAGGGTGAGTGTTAAATACCGAAGAACAACAACAGCAACAACAAACAACAAGAAACGTCACTCAAATCAGTGAAAAAATACTAATACAAAATTTTAAAAAAAGTGCCCCCTTTAATTTTTGCGTATAGGCATTTTCTGTCTTTAAGGAACTTATTTTTCGTATACGTAACTGGTGGGTTTTTACTATTGGGGGTTTTTTGTTTTGCGATTTTCACCAAATTGCGTACAACGACTTGCGTTTATCTGAGTACAGTTTGCAGTCAAAATCATGTCTTTTTTTCCGTCTTGGCGTGTAGCCTTTTTCAGGCGTTCAGATAGTGCTGCTCAATTCTTTTTGCTCCCTCCCCACAGTCTGAACGCCTGCAACAGACTAGTAGACAGGAGTTCGCGCTGATATTTGACTTGGTCTCCAGAGCCGTTAACTCGCCTCTGATCAGTATTGTTGGTTTGCACGTGACGTCACGGCGGCCATGTTGACGGTCAAGAACAAGAGCATTTCTCTCTTATGGGAATTAAACTCTATTTTCATATTATTTCTTGGAGAAAAAATTACATTGTTTCGACTGCCAACATGGCACGTGGCTGCAAACCGAGAATATAAATGGCGACTCTAGGGGAAATGGTGAAGTATGAGCAGGGCTTTTATTGCTCTAGCTTGCTTTAAGCAAGGTTAAATTAATCAATGGTAAGAGGTTATTTTAAATGCACAAAATTTCCTTGCAAGTTTATTTTGGGTAAGAATTTGTCTGTAGCTGCCCTTTTCGAGTATTGCTTCCAAGAACATAAACAGTTGGCTAACATAAATTCGTGGCTTTGTAGGCCTTACCTGCATTCGAACAACTGGTTGAGGGCTATTTTAAAAAAAAGCCGCGGTTTCGTCTCATCCTTGGTGTAAAAACCTGCGAAACTCACGAGTGACGTAAAACAATGAATACCAAGAAGCCACTGAGAAGTCAACACAATAGATCCAAGGATAATAATAGCTAGAAAACAAAGAAAAACTTCACAGGTTTTTATACTACTACATGAAAAATTACTGCAATTTGATTGGCTTAGAGCAGTGGTATTTCAGCTTAATTTGAAATACCTACATGTGAAAATTACAAACCTTTTGCGGGTAGTAGTATAAACAAATAATAGCTTGATTTGTACGTGATATTTGGCATAAATACCACTCGTAATATTTCAAAATTCTCTCAAATTTCACTCGCCTAACGGCTCGTGAAATTACGTATAACAATTTCGAAACATCACTTGTGATATTTATGCCAAATATCACTACAAATCATGCTATTACTTATACTAACACCGAGGTAAACCCGCGGTTTCTCTGTGGAGAGCGAGTGAGATTTTTTTTCAACCTACATGCTTCAAGTTATTTATTAATTGTTTGTTTGTTTATGTTACCTCAGGTTGCTCAGCAAGTTTTGGAGAACAAGGAAAGAGAGAACGAAATTCAATCACTTGTTCATGAGCTGCGGAATAAAGAGGTGGGTAGTCAAACAGTGCTCGTTCCTACGTTCGATTGAATTATTTTTCATTGACTTGCTGCTTAGTGGAGCTAATTCGCACGATAAATCTATCTTAATTTAGGTCACGTGTTTCATCGATTACCTAGCCTGAGTACCAGATATCCCTTAGGGGTTAGGGAAGGGAGATTTAAGCGGCGGGAGCGTGGGGAAGAGAAGCTGTTTCCCTTTGTCGCTTCTTTCCTCTCCTTTCTACCCAGAAACGTCTGATACTCATGCAGGCTATCGTAAAATCCCTTGTAGAATGACACAGTCGCCACCAAACAGTCTGAGCTGAGACAGCAGAAAGCTCTAACTGCTGAAGAGGACAGGAGGCGCATGAATCTACTGAACGCTTTACAGCGGGATTACACCACAACAAGTGATGATTCAGAGTCCTTCTGTAAGTACAGCTAGCTAAGCGTAACCTGAGATCAGGCTCTATTTTCGTTTCGCTTTAAAAATTACATTCCGGCGGGCATGGCGAAACGAAATGAGAGCCCAGTTTTAGCGCTGGCCGTTAGAGAGAATGTATGAGAACTGCTAAAATTGGGCCTGATCTCAGGTTAGCTAAGCGTGCAGTTAGTTAAAGGTACCCCAGAAGGCAGTTGTTCCTAGAGTAACCTGCATGCGTTATGCTGGCAATCAGCGTGCCAGTCTATCGCATTAATGAATTGTAACACTGGCTTTTAAGTGTCATAGTTTCCTTTTATACGCAATCCAAATCTTAGGCTTTATCAGACACGTCGCACTTACATACTACAAAGTTGTATCGTAAGGGGCGGCCTTATGGGCAAACTTGGATAGACTATTTTCGAATCCCCCGCCGTACACTCACACTCTTTTTGCAGCCCAAATTTTGCATTAGTTTTCAAATGCTTTTGGGAATATGCAGTGCTGCCAAGAGGATATGAAACCAATAGTTTATGCAAAATTTGGGGGGAGGGGGGCACTTGCAGGCCCACAGATAAGACACTCGCCGACGTTTTGAAAATAGTTTGCTACTGTATTTCACACCCATAACGTGAAACAACCGGCGAAGAAGTGGCTAGCTACTAACCGAGGGCCGTTATTTCTAATAGCCCTGAATGTCTTGGATTATCATACATTTCTCGGAAACTGCGCACCTACCCCTCCCCTAAGTCAACATTTTGCCCGAGGTGAAAAGTAAGTGCTAATGTTGTCTTAGGGGAGGGGTAGGTGGGCAGTTTCCTAGAAACGTATAATGATCCAGTGTCTTTAACCTAGCACGCCTGAGGGACATTCGTCAAGTTCCCGTGGAGCCTAGGAGACCTTTAAGTGCTATCCAACCCAGTAACACGGACAGTAGCTCAACTACGGACTGGGACGAGACGAGTGGAACTCCGATCAGTTCTCAAGGTGAGTACTAGTTATAAGTAACGTGCAATGGAAATTTTTAGTACTCCTAACGTCGCCAAATCTTTTTATATTGGATTAAAAAACCTTAAGGTAAAAAACTGAAGAAATACGGAATCGCGAATTGCGAATTGGCGCATCGTTCAACCTGTATTTACTGTAACGTTTAGAGACTTCAGACAAAGCGAGTAAAATCGTTATTTATGATGCAAATCGATCGTACATAACTTTGGAAACAAAGAGGTGTAGTACATGTAGTGAAGTATTTTTGCAAAGCCATCCTTTTAGGACTAAAATTCTTTAAGTGTTTCTCTTGTGCTTTTAATTGGTAAGCTCAAGTGTTGATCTTTTCGTAACGAAACGTTTTATCCTCGCTTTGGTCTTTCAGAACCGTCGGTTGAACGCCAGCGGGAAACGTTTGAAAAGCGTGAACTTGAACTTATGGCCGAGGTCCGAGATCTTAGAAAGCGACTAGCAGCCAGAAGACAGCAACGAGCACCGGACTTTATAGGACATACCCAACAATGATTACTAGCTGAGAAAGCTTTCTTTTTACAGTAAAATTCTTTGTAAATATATTGGCATTGTACATGAGCAATTCTTCAGAAACCTATGTCCGATTGTCCGGGACAGGTAAAAATTTAGTTCGGACAAGTAAACCTTTGATATAACTTGTCCTTAGGACAAGCACATTTTTAATACAAAAAAAATACAGGAACAGTTGTGAAAATTGACTTCAAATTACAGTACAATTAAAATTTATCTTCTTAATCATAAAAGCAAACCTCATGCTGGACGAAATAAGGTTTAAAGTATTCCCTTTAACTTCGCGATTCTGCGGTCATTTTATTTGTTTTTACGAGCTCCGTTTGGTTCAGGAACCTGGCGTTAGTAATCAGGCCTGTTAAGACGTTACTGATATTATATTTAGGTTTAAGTCAAGAACAATTTGCAAGGCTAATAATGTGATTAAAAACATTAAATGTCCGATTGTTTTTTAGTTACGAGTTTTGAGTTGAGTCACTGTTGTCGTCAAAGTAGCCTTTGAAATTACAAAATTTTTTGATTTACATGTTTTCGTGTTTTTCGAAATCGCGCAAGTCTGCTTGCGTTTAGCCGGCTGTAGACTGTATGAGGGTCATGTATAGAATGGATGGGTGATAAAAATATTTCGGAAAAAAAGAGAAAAAGTAGCAAATTTGTCTGCATTAAGGTGACTCGACTGGATTTTTTGGGGTTGATACCTCCCAAGTTTGAGCATTAACTACGTCGGCATGAGTAAAGATATCGAAAAAAGGTTACCACAACTGTATTACATAAAGATGAAAATTTCTTAAGATCTGGGTTTTATTGCAATCGGAGTCGCCATGGCAACGTAATGATGCCATTACGTTTTTCATTTATCCTTGTGTTTCTCTGTACCAGGAGTTTTCTGAAGAAATCGCTTAAGGGAGTATGTACCTGCCATAATTGCCTCCATTATGGCAAAGTTTAAAGAAATTCTATGAGAGCGTTTTCGAAATATTTTGAAATACACTTTTAAGAATCATAAAAACAGTGAAATAGCATGCTAGCCGCTCAATTCGCTAATATATTAAGAAAATGATAAGCTTTGGGAACGCGGCTTCATCTCATAGTGGATTGATTCCATTGAAAACTGCATACAAAAAAAGAGGGGAATTGCTCTGGGCGATCGCGAGTAAGAAGAATTTTATTAACTTGCATTCAGCTGCTTTTGATACAGTTTTTGGAGGTAATTTGGTCCATGCCTAAGAATTTCGCATTTTTCCAAAAACCGCTCTATAAATTTTTTTATAAATTCGACAATTCCGAGATCAATTGTCAAGAAATATTCCCTGCAAGTTTCAAGAACATTGAAAACAGGGAAGACTTTTAAAAAGGGACTCAAACATAACCAATTTTCCCCCCAGATTTTGTGTTTACAAGTGAGCGTCTTCATTATTCACTGGCATTGTTTTCAAGTTTCATATGCACGTGCACAACCAGCAAAAAATATAAATTTGCATCAAAAAGAACTCTCGATTACTTTCCGAAGAAATATCCAGTATATGCTGATAATTGGCTTGTCGTCACAGATAGCAGTGAGAGCCGAAACGGTGAACGTCTCGGCTCATCGTGTAGGATGCAATACTTAATTATCTTACTCGGGTTATAACATCACAGAAACTCTCACAAAGAGTTGCTCTGATGTTATAATGTATCACTAACCTCTTTACCCGGTAATTAGCATATCCCGAAGATTTAACCGAGGGTCCTTTTTGATGCAAATTCTATCTTTTTGCTAAATGTGCACGTGTATATGAAACTTGAAAACAATGCCAGTGAATAATGAGGACGCTCACTTGTAAACACAAAATCTGGGGAAAAATTGGCTATATTTGAGGCCCTATTTAAAAGCCTTCCCTTTTTTTCAATGTTCTTAAAACTTGCAGGAATATTTTTGACGATTGATCTCGGAATTGTCGAGTTTATAAAAAAAATTTATCGAGCGGTTTTTGAAAAATGCGAAATTTTTAGGCATGGACCAAATTACCTCCAAAACTGTATCAAAAGCAGCTGAATGCAAGTTAATAAAATTCTTCTTACCGCGATCGCCCAGAGCAATTCCCCTTTTTGTATGCAGTTTTCAATGGAATCAATCCACTATGAGATGATGCCGCGTTCCCAAAGCTTATCATTTTCTTAATATATTAGCGAATTGAGCGGCTAGCATGCTATTTCACTGTTTTTATGATTCTTAAAAGTGTATTTCAAAATATTTCGAAAACGCTCTCATAGAATTTCTTTGCCATAATGGAGGCAATTATGGCAGGTACATACTCCCTTAAGCGATTTCTTCAAAAAACTCCTGGTACAGAGAAACACAAGGATAAATGAAAAACGTAATGGCATCATTACGTTGCCATGGCGACTCTGATTGCAATAAAACCCAGATCTTAAGAAATTTTCATCTTTATGTAATACAGTTGTGGTAACCTTTTTTCGATATCTTTACTCATGCCGACGTAGTTAAGGCTCAAACTTGGGAGGTATCGCCCTAAAAAAATCCAGTCGAGCCACCTTAACCACCGCCTGCGTGCAGACGTCTCCTATTTCCTTTGTTGCACGCGGAAAAGGGACGTCTGCGTAACGCCGTCGCTAATCGTGTTCCAGCGTCCTGCTGGGTTCCCAAGATCTTGGGAACACGCTGCGATAGGCTGACACACAGTGCGCATTGTTTGACTTAACGCTGATTGGTTGTTATCGAATGTGGTCTGATAATGTATGCGGTGATTTAAATGATTTATGTAAGCAAGGTTTTCTAACCAAAACAAATTAAAACATGAGCGATTGTGTGCTGTGTTTTTCGTCGATCGAAAAGCAGAGCGATCGAAATCTTGTGCGGGGACGCGGAAAATTTAACGTGTACGAGGAAATTATTTCTTTACAATTTACTGTGCATGACACATCACATCATATTTGTAAACAGTGTCTGAGAAAACTACAAAAGCGGCAAGGACTTCGCACCAGGCAGGCATTTCGGAGAAAGCCAGCCAAAGAAACTAAAATCTTTATTTAGCCGTAACAAACAGAGGTCAAGAAAATTTAAACACTTTACAACTGCATCTGAAATCAAATCCTATCGGGAACACCCACAGAAGCATAAACCACAGGAAATGATTACTCAGTATGCATGTAACAAACCTGCTTCATGACCTCTAAATGTAAGACTCAAAGGTTAGAATGCTACATGCACTGTGTAGTGCTAGTAATCTTCGCGCGAGAGAGAAAAGAAGAAAAACCTCTGTTCAAGCAGACTCTCAAGGTCACGTTTCGAACGTATCACGAGCTTATGATGTTTTGTTTGGCCTGTCAACTCTTATTTCTAACCGGATATTATTTCACAATTTATGCGAAATAGAATACCCTGCCAGCGGGACGCTGGAACACGATTAGCGACGGCGTTACGCAGACGTCCCTTTTCCGCGTGCAACAAAGGAAATAGGAGACGTCTGCACGCAGGCAAAGAAACACAAGGATAAACGAAAAACGTAATGGCGTCATTACGTTGCCATGGCGACTCCGATTGCAATAAAACCCAGATCTTAAGAAATTTTCATCTTTATGTAATACAGTTGTGGTAACCTTTTTCCGATATCTTTACTCATGCCGACGTAGTTAAGGCTCAAACTTGGGAGGTATCGCCCTAAAAAAATCCAGTCGAGCCACCTTAAGTCCAGTCTTCAATTCACGAATATATTATGCCCTTTTTGTTGAAATTTCAAGATTTCTCGAAATTCCTCTTATAGGTTAATTTTTGTGAAACTTTGCACAGCAGAAGACAAGCACCCAAAGTATCTGTAGCGTTAAGCATTTCTGAAGAAAATGCTGGTAAGGGCTGCAATTCGACTTAGAGCCGAAACTATTGTGACGTCATTGTCACGTGATATTCCGATCACCCTAAAAATAATATCATAATCAAATTTAGTCTGTGTGCAATACATGTGTTATAAAGGTTTTACAATAAAGATAAGTTTGTTTCAGTCTAAGAGATTCGAGGATGGAAATTACACCTACAAAAATACTGGGTCGAGCCACCTTAACGTTAATAAAACCTATATTTTGTCAACACAAGCAAATACTTTGTAAGAAGTGTAAGAGTTGATTTGTTTATTCTTCCTACCATCTTACAAGATAGTAATCATTTACACAATCTTAAATATTTAACTGAACTATTAGCCACCATATCAAACAAGCAGTTCGGAGAAACAGGGCAAAGCAAAAGTTTAACATGTATGTTACATCGCGAAACCCTTTTAGATACAGGGGTGGGGAAAGAGGGGAAGGGGTTGCTCTTTCGGGTGGTAAAGGGGAACCGCCTTGGGACACTTTTTTTCAAGGGACCCAAATTTTGGTCCCGGAAAAATGTGCAAAAGGGAGCCACTTTTTTAGAGGTTTAGCTATAAAAAATTGCGTAAAAACGTTTCTTAAAACATTTAAGAAATTTTTATAAAAGTTAAAAAATACACGATGTTTCGAGGTTCTCGGACGTCATTATCAAGTAAAAAATATAGAGTCTTAACGTCCTATAAACACAAGAGAAACAACAGAAAAAAACGAGGAAAATGTTCTCATAATCTTTTGTTTTTGTGACCTCTTTTGAAGGGAAACCACGCACTATTCATGGGAAGGGAACACTACTTTTGGTTCCCAAAACCCGGGTTTAACCTCTATTCAGAGGACATCTTAACACTGAGAACGTGGCTGACCACAAGAAGGGTTGGAAAGTGTACACTTGTCACAATGGTGACAGATTTCACAGCATCTCCCTTAAATCGGTGTACTGCCCTTGTGGAAATTCAACACAATGTAATTATCGCATAAATAAGTCAATGATAGTTTTTTGTATACATCTAGCTGTTTGAAATAATGTCTGCAGCAGATTCCGAGGCATTGAATATAAAAAAATATATTTTATTTGTTGGTTAATTGTAAAAAAAAAACCAGCACAACCTCTATTCATGGGACATTTCCCTTGGTAAACGAGGGTGTCCCCTGAATAATCTTCCACTGTACTTTAGCATTCTTAATTGATTCAAACCATACACTGTTACCTCGTTAATATCAGACTTCTGAAATACGCAGAAAAGTGAGAAAAAACGCAAGTAGATGTTTTAAGTGACGTTTTCTTCGATGTTATTTGGTGGTTCCTTGAGCTCCCTATTAACACGTTTTTTGATCTTTGTCGGTTGTCGGTAAATCTCATGCAGTTAATAAGTTAATGATTCATATTAACTTATTAACCCCCATATTAACCCCATTCAGACCCTCGAAGAAGTGTGAATGAGAAAAGTACTCGACAGGCCCGCCATGTATTTAGTGTGGAATGAACCTCACCATGGAACTGAATTGAATTGCTGGAATAAAAGGTGGGATCCTGAAGCGGTTGTTTCCAGTAGATTGATGCAAAGTGACAGATGATATACCTCTATATCCATACTGTCGCTCAAGCTCTTGAAAGTTGAACTTGTACGTGTATTTTTGGCCTCTAATCTTGGTCAACACTTTCTTGTGGTAGTAATAACGTAGTGCCCGACTGAACTTTTGGTAGGTCATGTTTCTTCGGCCATTCCTTTCTCCCCACAGCTTTGCCGCTTGTTCAGGGCGTATGATAGTGAACTGCCCGTCCATCCCCTCCCAGGACATAATTGAAGAGAACCAAGGATTGGACAACATGTTGAGAATGAACTCGAGCAGCTGGGACCGGGTTTTCAACATTTTGTCCACCAATCCTTCGAGGTAATTGAGATTAAAAGTTAGTCCACTGACGTTGTTTTGCGGTGCTTTTAATTGAGGATTTGAACACTGAACTAAACAACAACAACAACAACAACAATATGCCTGCTACGGTCAAGCCCCGTTGATAGACACTGAAGGCATCACAGAGGGTGTCCGTATTAACGGGATGTCTGTATTAAGCGGTTCATATTATTGGAGTAAAAAAAAAAACCTTTTTACTAGAACAAAATCACAAAGGAATAAAAGAGGACATAAGCATCGTCGAATTAAAGTTAAACCTTCACAAAGCCGTCATTACGCGGCTTAAGTCAACGGAAACAGATCTGGAGGTCCAAAGATTTCCTAAACCGCGGTCTAAATTAGTTTTCGTTTAAACAATGGACCCTGAGGGGTTGAATCCCGTACCAACGTGAATTTTCTTTCATGCTTTCTTTTCGCAACTGCAAAAGTTGCGTCCGTAACTCCTAATATCTTCTTTACATTTGATACTGCATCCCAGAATTCCTATATACCTTATTATAGGAAATTAACGATGCACGTTGACAATGCGAAGAAAATTTACGTTGCACAAAATTAACGCGAATTTTCCAAAAGTTAGGTTTACATACATCAAATTAACGCGGAATTTCGAAAACAATGTGCCCTAACTTTATTTTTCGCGAATTTGCTGCAATACAAAGTTCTTGGCATGCATATCTAAAGGAAAAAACACAAATAAACGTAAATGGAAATCTTAAGAAGAAAGACTGACGAAGTTAGCTATCCCCTCGGGGAAACGGATCAATACGAAGACCAGTCAAAAGACATGCATTTTGAACTCAATTCTTAAAGAAGAACTGTCAGATAGTGACTCCGAGGCGTTGATAGAGGAAATATGAGCAGACGAGGTTTTGTTATTGAAATAAAGGTGGTGTAAAACAACAATGATGTAAAATAGTGTGATTTAAATCAACATCGATAAAATTAAGATGCATTAAAATTGCGTTAATAAAGTACATCGTTAATTTCCTATAATAAGGTATGAATTTCATGTTCATATTCTTTATTTCAAGGAAATGAATTTATTGGTGACTCAACCTGCTCTGAAACCAAACTTTTTCTTAAAATGCATTCTTTTTGTGAGTGGCCCGCTTTGCTAGGTTGTCCCTATTAACGTGATTACAAGGAAATTTACCCTAATTTCTCCCTCTTTTCCCCCTCGCTTGCCATAGGAACGCTTTTCAATAAATTTGTCCAAACCTAGTTAACTCACCATTTTCCAGTTGACAATCGTCATTGCAATGGAAGGAGCACTCAAAATCAGCTTCTTTTCCCACAAGAAAATTCATTTCAGCTTAAACGATAAACTCACGGAATGAGTGGCAAGTTGATGGATACGGCGGTTGATGTTTTCCAGTGGGTTTATATATTGTAACTTGTCCATATAAGCAGCTTTTAATAAACCAATCACGGCCTAGTGAATCCCCTATCGCCACCCAGCCCATTTGACGTCATAAATAGTGACGTCATTACTGAAACCACTACTCGTATACTCGACTGACCAATCAGAAACTAAAACTTCCCTAGTAACCACATACGTGATCGGCGATAGACAATAAACATCTTTTTGTTGCTCCAATGTATGTCGTCAGCAAGAGAGGTTTGACCAATCTACAAATAGGAGACAGCTACGTTGAAGTAGTTAAGTTTTTTGCCATGGTGATGATTGTCATGGAAACTGAATACATGTGTATATATTTTCACCCTTTTCCCGGGGTTACATAGGTTTTGTAAAAACAAGGAAGTATCTGTCGCTATGTTTTGTAGAGTGATAGGCGTTTAAGAAAAAGGCTTCCATGGTAACTTACCAATTTATGTATGATGGTTATCTTTTAGTTGCTATGAGAATCCAATAACAGAGCTCAAAATAACGGCCGGTCAACGGAAAATTATGGGTCCGGCCAATGTGACCATTTCTCCGGGACAAACGTTCCGTTTGCCGATCATTTTTAACCGACACGTAAATAAGCGACCAGAAAAATTAAATACATTACCATTCAAGATGACAAGTATCTTTTTCTACTTTGTTTTTTTGCTTGTTAGGCTAGTACGTTCAAGTTATTGTGTTATTTTCGACATTTTGACCGGTCAGAAGAAAGACGTGACCGTAGTTTGATAAACCCACAATTGTTCAATAAACGCAACAGATCAATAACCACTCCAGTAGTTCAATGACCACCCATTATTTCATTGACGGTAGACCACCAACTGTAAGAGTAAAGGTTACTAGTACATTAGGTTTTACAATATAACTTTGCTATATTTAATGGAAAATATGCATTTATCAATGACATAAAATAGCTATGGTACAGTTATTAAGTTCGAGTGAGCTCACTCATGTAAACAGGAACATAGACTGATGTTTTAGATTTATAAATTTAAGGTCTGCTCATGATCAGAAGGTCTGTCATTCTCATCAGGGGCACAGTGAGCAGAACTGAAAAGAGAGTCAGCTCCAAAAGGAAAGGTTCATTCAATTCAAAGGCAAACTTTATCCAAAATACTCTTGATAAAGCGCGCTGAGGAAGCAGAAAAAGTATAACGGTTAACAGTTGAGAAAAGTTCGATTTGTCTGATTCTCTTCCTGCACGTTCAAACTGTGGTACTGAACTGTGGAAAGAATCTCTTCGTGGGATGACTGACTGGAAATGCATCACAATTGCAGGCCGCAAAGGAAGGAATCATGTATTGGCTGTTTGCAGTGGGCTGATGAAAAGTGACAGATGATCTACCTCTATATCCATAGTGTCGCTCAAGCTGTTGAAAGTCGAACTTGTACGTGTAGTTTTGGCCTCTAATCTTGCTCAACACTTTCTTGTGGTAGTAATAACGCAGTGCCCGACTAAACGTTTGGTAAGTCATGTTTCTTCGGCCATTCCTGTCTCCCCACACGTGTGCCGCTTGTTCAGGGCGTATGATAGTGAACTGCCCGTTTATCCCCTCCCAGGACATAATTGAAGAGAACCAAAGATTGGACAACATGTTGAGAATGAACTCGAGCAGCTGGGGCCGGGTTTTCAACATTTTGTCCACCAATCCTTTGAAGTAATTGACATTAAAAGTTAGTCCACTGACGTTGTTTTACGGTGCTTTTAATTGAGGATTTGAACACTGAACTAAACAACAACATCAACAACAACAATATGCCTGCTACGGTCAAGCCCCGGTACTTTGTCCAAGGAACCTGCGAAAGGAATTGAGATTAATTCTTCAACCGGTTGTTTTATCATGCTTTAAATTGAGACCAAGACCTACTCAGTTTGAACAACTACCTCATTTCATAATGTATACGAGACAATTCGTTTTGTTGTTCCCTTTCATCTCGCCGGAGCCACAGCCATTGTTTTTGGCTGACGAACGTTTTGGCTGTTTTTGAAATGACGTTTGTAAAAAAATGCACCGAAATAATTTCCATTCAGTTTATCCCTTTACGTGGCTCGTCATACCTCTTTACTTTAAACAGGAAGGAGAACTTTTTAATTATTTTTGACTTAGTTCACCGTAAAACCCAAAACTTAATGTTTTTTTCTTGGTTGTCTGTTTGACATGTTATTCACGAGACTACATGAACACTCACCCCGTTTCTCCCCCCCCCCCCAGCTTTCGAATAAAATAGCCCAAAATACTTTGCATTTCACCATTGTTATTACAATCAAAGGAGCACTCAAAATCAGCTTCGTTTTCCCTAAGAAAATTCATTTTTCAGCCATAAACACCACAAGTTGAGAGTTCACGGACGTAGCGGTTGATGTTCTACATTGGGAAATAAATTGTATCTTGTCCTTATAAGCAGCTTCCAGCGGACCAATCAAAGCATAGTGAACATCAATCGAAGCCCAACCCATCTGACGTCATAGAGAAGTGACATCACCAGTACTTTCCGAACTCGTATATTTGAACGTACCAACCACAAACTAAATTATCCTTGGCAACGACACACCTCTTTGGCTACCTAACAGTAGCAGGTTTTTGTTTTTCTAATGTCGTCATAAGGTGCAATTTGACCAATCTACGGAGAGGAGAGCGCTATGCTGTGGGATCAGTGTTGGTTGCCTTGATGATGACTGTCATGGGAACTAGATACATGTTTATATATTTTCATAATTGTCCCTCGCTTGCACCGGTTGCAATAAAGTACGAGTGAGTATCTGTAGCTTGCTTCTTTTCGTAAGATGTGTTGACATCTAAGGTATAGTCGTCCGTGGTAAATGAACAGTCAGTTGCTACGAGGATCCCATGACAACATTCCTTTTTGTTGCCCACAATATTTATTGATATTTGTGCTGAAATAATATATGGGATATCGGAAATCCTCTATAACAAATTATTTTTTTTTACGAATACCTTTAATTTCCGGTTTAATTAATAATCACACTCAAGTCACAGAAACAGGATATTTCTTTTCTGCTATTTCTGTGTAAAGCCCTACATAAAAACTTGTTGAATATAAACCTCTTGGCAGACTGTTCCAGCTTTCCAGTGAACAAAGGCATCAGCTCGATGCTTGGGATGACGAACAATACAGTGGCCTTGACCTTGTTCATGAAATACGCATTCCTTAGCAACACATCGCCAACATGACGTCCTCGAATAAATTGTGTTGCCTTTGCAAATATCTGGTGCTTATCAGGTTGCTGAAAAACTGTTGAAACTGACTAATCCAAATTGAAATCGCCTTTGGCATCTACTCTCTCTGTTTGGCGTCATAAAAAAACAAGATCTCTTACTCCAAGGTCGCGATCGATCGATGGAAAGCGATCTCCTTCAAGTCCGCCATGTTTTGAAAAGAGTTGCCATGGAAACTTGTAACACGTTTTAACTTGTTTTTTATTTCTGTAATTCGTTTACATGGAGACCACGGAAGCAACAGATACCTTTCAAAATGTTTTGAAAAGTTGGTCGGTAATTAAGGTAAAGGTTTCCATGGTAACGTAGTGATATTTAAATAATGATATAATCATAGTGTGGTCTGCAAAGTTGCCATGAGAATAAAAACATACAAAACTTTCTAAAATTTTTTTCTATCTGGTACGAAGGAAAATACGTTCATTTGAAAACGATTTTCATTTAATCTTTTCTCCCACTCTAAGAAAATAAACGAGAAACAAAAAAAAAAGTTTTAGCGAACTGTGCCTGTGACAGGCTAAAATCTTATTCAGTCGGGCATTTTTCCTTTCCTTTTCAAGTCAGCTTTGAAGATGTATATGTAACAGGCTGCCAATTAGTTTCTCTTTGATTCAAATATTTACTGTTCACGGCTTTCCTTTCATTGCATGAAACTAAGATAAAGAAAATCGTGGAAAAAGTATAGAGGGATACTACAACTAATCATTTCAAGTTTAAAATCCCCAGTGTTGTCCGACAAGATGATCTGTTGGCAGTTTTGAAAGACGCAAGGAGGCGTAAGTAAAAGTAAAATGCTTCATTTATTAATACATTAGTTTCAAAACTAAAGCAAACGTAACAGGTCTTGTGATGAAACTCGATCGATCTCATCAAGAATCAGAATCCTGGTCTTCCCCAGATCGTTGTTGTTTTTTGAGTGGAAATCCCTCTGTTCAGTGCGACGTGCCTGCAGGCGTGGTTCTGTAAGGAAAGGATCAGCATAAGATTCCAGGGAAATTCCTCTCCACTTACACTATATGGATCATTATACGTTTCTGGGAGACTGTCCACCTTCCCCTCCCCTAAGTCAACATTTGCCCTAAGTCAGAAGTAAGTGTTGATGTTGGTTTAGGGGAGGGATAGGTGGACAGTTTTGCCCTCAGTAAGACTTTAGTGGTAACGTTGTGTTAGGGGAGGGGTAAGTTAAAGGCAGTTTCATGCAATCTTAGCTGATATATGGGAAAAAGAGATTAGGTTCAAGTAGCCTCCATCGCAAAGCTTTGCGTGACATCCAAAAAATGGCTGCGATGGAGTTTAGGGTTCCAGGCATAAGAGGGAAAACGAAGGGTTCGCAGCCACGATTTTTCTGTGAGGCAAATTTGTGAGAAAACTGAATTACCTTTTCAAGTTTTAAAAAGGGTCATCTTATTCACGCACGCATCTACTATTTGCTTATTATGAAAGAAGTGATTCTTTAAAAACATCAGTCACAACTCTAAGGTAAACGCAAATGTTCATTTCCTAACCTTTGGTTGCTGCTAGTTTCCACATTTATTTCAGGACTTTGATTACTGGCTGGTTAATGAAGGTTCAACTGTTCTGCAATTTGTAAATTACGTAAGGTGTCCAAGGGGCTTACATACAGGCCGATAGTATCTTCTGTGATTGGTCACACCACAGGGTCTTACTTAACAGCTGTTCGCTCTTTGCTGGTAACGTTTGTATTCGAAAGCCCAAATTTTACAGCCCATGAAGTACATGGTTTTGTAAACTCTAAGTCATTCCCTAAGAACATTCTCCTTTATCAGTCCTAGTTAAACCTTACTTAATAAAATCGGGCCAACCTCTCTTAAAAAAGAATAATAAAAATAGAAATTAAAAAAACAAAACAAAAACTGAAGGGAAACAAAAGAATCAAAAATTGAAAACAAAAAAGAAAAATTTGAAATTCCTTTATTTAAAATGTTACAAAACAAACGATGTCATTGCTTATTAAAATCCTAGCGTATAATTATGAAGATAATCAAGTTAGAGAGCCAACTACATTAAATTAGTGCGGTTCGACTCCGGATATGAAGGGAGCAACAATAATGCAAAGCAGACAGGCGAGCCATAAATAAGGATAACAGGTACGTAATACTTATAAACCTTACAAAACAAATCTGTCTAGTCGTCCAGTTTCGTCGAAAAATCACTCTCCTCTCTGTCAAAAATAAGGAGCGCCTTAACCTTTGTTAAAAGTCCCAGGGCGTTCCCCGCTGGGTCAAACACGGGTAACCCAAGTTCTGTGATATTACCACAGTAAGATTCCAGTAAATTTACAGTGTTTGTGTGGGGTAAAAATATGATCCTTAAATTTGAGGAAAATACTAAAGAAAGGTAAATGAAACTTACTCTGCCGTAAGACTTTTACTGAATGCAAGAACACCAAACTTCATAGTGGTTTTCATATCTGGAGCTGTCCTATTTCTACGGACCTAGCGTGTTTATTTACCGTTGAAGTTCGAAATTCGAAGAAAAAATGGTGTTGGAAGGGGAGTGATGGCGGCTGTGATGCCATATGTTTCCACCTATTATGTGTATTATATTGTATAGAGGGTGAATTTGAGCAAATTATCTCGAAACTTCGTGTGAGCATTAATGACAATAACAACTATCTGCAGAGTAAGTCTGATTGACTTTTATTTACTCAGTAGTATTTATCTTAGTAGTATTTCCCACAAATTTCAGGGTCGTATTTTGCCCCACACAAACACTGTAATTTTACTTAAATTATACTGTGGTGCTATCACAGAGCCTGGGTTACCTGTGGGAAAACACAAAAGTTAAGAGCCGTGACGTCACTGAACGAAACTCACCGAAAACACCTTTTCCCTAACTTCGCGAGAACGGCAGGGCAAGAGAGTGTTCTGGCTTGCCTGAGCATGGTTTACTACGCAAGGAATCCATGATACTGGAGTGTATGGAGACCTTTAGTTCTATTTTTAGATCACTTTTGACCAAAAATGTGAAAGTAACCCTGAGATGACCCCTTCAGTTGACAGCACTCATCGGGGGGAATGGTTTGCCTTACTGTTCCATGTTACATCTGTAATGATTACATTTCACGTTACAGTAGAAATACAACTGAAAGAATTGCACGAATGATACATTGCATATCTGCAACTGAGAACAAGTGTAGTCTACTTGTTTAAAACTAACGAGCCTCTGAAATGATGACTTCTTTTTTTTTTTTGTCAAACGAAAGATTTCCTCTTAAAATATTTGATGAAAGTGGTATTCCAGGAAGAGCTGACAGTTTTGAATTTGAAGTTGTGGATATATGAAAATCATGTATGTGAACTGCGGAGTGAAGGAAGATCATCGCAGTTATATACACAAGTTTTGCAGTTGCGAAAAGAAAGCCTGAAAAAAAAACC